AGGGTAAACCAAAGGAGGAGGCTGCAATGCTTGGTAAGAAATGTACGCATTATCCTGCCCATGTAATTGTAACCCCTCTGTACAGTATGTTCACACATAAAAAATAAATAAATAAATTTAATAAAAAAAAAGAAAAGTTTCTGTCATGGGGCAAGAGCTTCCCAAAGAATAATAGCAGTGCTGGCTGACACACCAGATGATGTCCTTGTGAAAGACCTTAGTCAGTACATCGGCCAATGTCACAAATGTTCAGCACATTTTCCTGAATTATTTGTTCCTCATGAATAGATACTTGACCCACTCTCTTCTGGCTTCTTCCTCTAAGTAGTAAACCCTCATGTGGTACACAGACCCACCATTTCCATTGTACATCTATTGGACAAATCTGTAACCTAGGCATAAGTAATAGTTGCTTTTGTGACATCACCAAGTAATCACCAAGTAATCACCAAGTACTGCGAGGTACCCAGGCTGTGACACTAAGCAACTCTGAAGCAGGTCAATCACACTTCAGATATTGGTAGTTTAAGGGGATGGTTGTCTCTTCTTTCACCTCCTCCTGCTTTCACCTCCTCTATCTTTTCTTCCTCCTCCTTCTCCCTCTCCCTCTCCTCTTTCATTTCCTCCTCCTCTTCCTCTTCCCCTTCCTCCTCCTTTATGTCTTTTGATAGACGATGTCTAGGAGAAGAAAATGGGCATCCATAGGACATGATGGAAATGTATACTCCAGTCACTGTAGAAGCCAATTTGGAATTTCCTTTGGAAATATAGCTTCTAAGCTGCATGCCAATATCTCTTATCTGTAATCCTAGCTACTTAGGAGGCTAAAATCTGAGAATTGCAGTTTAAAGCCAGCCCAGGCAGAAAAGTCCATGGGATTCTTGTCTCCAATTAACCACAGAAAAAGCCAGAAATGTAACTGTGGCTCAAGTAGTAGGGTGCCAGCTTTGAGGAAAGTAGCTAAGGGGCAGTGCCCAACCACCAAGTTTCAGCCCCAGTACTGGCAGATGCTTGCATATCCATGTTGAGCCCAACAGTATTCAAAATAAAGTATGGGTTTATTCTACATTTTATCAATGGATGGATAGAATGGATGGTATATTCTCAGTGAGATATGAGGCAGCTATAAAAACAAACCTTTTTGTAGGAAAATAGATGACAGTGGAGATCATGAAGTTAAATCGGCTAGACTCAAAAAGACATGAATATGTACTTTATCCCAAGTCTGAGGGGCAGCTTTTGTCTTTTCTGTAGGCTTGATCTTGGGAAATAATCTTCATTTACAAAGAAAAGCAAGAGTTTCATGCCTTTTTTTCTTTTTATTATCTTTAAGTAGTTGTACAGAGGAGTTGCCATTTAACAATGCAGTTTATGAATACAATTCATCTTGATCAATGTCACTCCTTTCTTCCCTCACCCTTCTTCATTTTGTAGGATATACAATGAATTTTTACTGCCTTTTCCCCCTCATCTTCTTTTGGTTTTGATATTCTTCAATAATAGATCACAAGAACCGTTTTTCCCTCATATGTGGAATCTAAAAGAAAGATGATGTGAAGGTGGAAGGGACAGTACTAGCAAGGAGTGAGCAGGAAGCTAGAACAATGAAGCCTACTGAAATTATTTTAAGAAGCAGGTAAGGACACCAGGGAAAGTGATAGAGGAAGTAAATTTGGTCAGGCAGGATTGTATGTATGTAAGGAAATATTACCACAAAAGCCCCACTCACCACCTATGTATGCTCATTTAAAAGAGGGGTATTCAGTTAACTGGTTCCAATCTTTTCTCACGTGTAGACTATTACTTACTCTTACTCCTCCCACATGCCATCAGATGGTCATTAGTCAGACAGTTGACTATAAAGGACTTCCATTTATTTGCTGCTCTGAGAGGGAAGGAGGAACAGAATCTGCTTAGAGCACTGAGAAAGAAAATAACTCTGAGAAGTGACCCAGGATGAATTCCAAGCATCAGTGCATACAACTGAATGATGGTCACTTTATTCCTGTCCTGGGCTTTGGCACCTATGCCTCTGAAAAGGTAACAACACTCATGTTGGCTTGAAGATTTAAAAGGAGATAGAATGAATAGAAAGCTGGCCAGTTTCCTGTGTGGCTCTCTGGTGGTTCACTGGGTCTCTGTTTCCCCATTCCTTAGGATCTGATCATGTATCAGATACTGATTATCCTGGTCATTATTTTTCCATTCTGTCCCAGTCTATTTCCCAATTAGGTAGGAAGGAAAAAAGAAAATTTAACAGTAAAATCATCTGATAATGGTACAGAGCATATTTTCTTTATTTTTTGGACAGTAAGAGAAGTTTCTAGTAGCATCATTTGATCATTTTTATTGTGATATTTGTTTTCTATTGTTGCATTCTGAGTTTCATAGATGTTATAATATTAATGATTTATGAGATGATTAAATTAATAAATACTTTTTATATTCTAGGAATTGCCTCTTCATGCTATTGATTGTTTCCATTGGTATACACAACATTCTTGACTTAATACAATCTAATTTGTCTCCTTTCCCTGCTGTTTCCTTGTTTTCTGTGTTTAGGGAATATATCTAAAAACTTTGTTTATCCTGAAATTCTGAATTCATTCATTTATGTTTCTTTTAGCACTTTCAAAGTTTCAGGTCCTAAAGTGTATGATCCAGTTTTGATCTGATATTTATACATACTAAGAAATAAATATGTCAAGCTTTTGGTCAGAAGATGTGACACACACACACACACACACACACACACACACACACATATATATATATATATATATGGAAATATCACAACAGAACTGAATACGGGCATTAGACTTTCCAAGATTTACAGAAAAGGGTGCTCTTTTTTCAAAGTCTAAGTTTTTGTCTATTTGTTGAAAATCATCCTGACATGTGGATTCATTTCGGAGACATGTGTGCCATTCCACAGGTCTTTATGTCCATTTCTATGTCAGCATCTTGCTACTGTTTCCTATGGCTCTGAAGTATGTCATAAAATTCAAAACTACAGTGAGATATCATTTCAGCCTTATAGAATGAATCGTGTCAAAGGCTAAACTAAAATTAAAAATAAATTGCTGGATAGTATATAGAGAAAAAAACTCTTGTACTTTTAGTAAAAATGTAAATTACAGACATGATGAAGAACAGTATGGAGGTTCCTTATAAAATCAAAGTAGATCTACCATATTATCCAGCCATCTAGCTTCTGGGTATACATCTAATTCAAATGAAATCTGCATACCAAAATGTTGCCTACAGTGATATATTCATTGTAGTAATATTAACAATAGCTAATATATGAACCCATTTCAAGGTCCATTACTCCATGAAGGGATAAATACAATGTGAGATATGAATTGATATATAATGCATGTGGACAAGTATTATTCAGCCATTCAAGAAAATGAAGTCCAGCAATTTCTAGTAGAATGGCAGATGATATTATAAAAAATGAAATACTCCAATCACATAAAGAAAAATGCCACATCTTTCTTCTCAGTGGACTGTAACATAGGGCTAGGGACAAAGAAGAAGGATTGGAAGTGAAGATGTTAAGAAGAGGGTAGAAAAATAATTATGATAACACAAGGAGACACATATAGAAAAACATGAGTTCTGGATTTCTCCAACGTTAAGGAATGAGTACAATTTACCATTTCATATAAGACATAAAGGGGAAAGAGCAAAGTATCTTGACATTAAAAAAGAATGAAGTAGGGCTGGGAAGGTGGCTCAGTGGTAGAGTGCTTGCCTTGCATGCCTGAGGCCCTGGGTTCGATTCCTCAGCACCAAATAAGCAAAAAGAAAAAAGCCAGAAGTGGTGCTGTGGCTCAAGTGGTAGAGCACTAGCCTTGAGCTGAAGAGCTGAGGGACAGCGCCCAGGCCCAGAATTCAGGCCCCACAACCAGACCCAAAAAAAAGAAAAAAGGATTAAGTAAGTAAAGAGGTCAACACAAAGATTTTATTGGTGCACACTGTATTCATGGTATGGAAACACAGCACTCAATATCAATCATAGGTAATATTCTTGCATGCTATTCAAAATAGAAATTTTTAAGTAGGTTATCTTTTTAAAAAGCAATCTGATGTCACTGGAGGTGTTGCTCACTTGCGTAGAACACTTGACTATATTCTTAAGGTCCTGCATTCAATCCCTAGTCCCTTAAGGGCAAAAAAGATTTTTTACAAATGATAGGGCTGGGTTTCTAGGAGACTGACACAGGAGGATCATAACAAAGTTAGTAAGGTTAATGAAAGATCGTGTCTTTAAAACAAGCTAAAAGTGGAAGGACTAGGAATGTGATTCAACTGGCAGAGCCTCAAAGTATGAACCTTTTAGTTCAATCTCCAGTACTAAAAAGTTAAAGTATGGTGAATGTCTGAATTTCTATACTTAAAGATATTCTTCTTTAAGAGCATTGTATCTTTCGATAAAAATGCAGAAAATGGTGCTGTGGATCAAAGTGCTAGAGCACTAACCTTGAGCACAAAAGCTCAAGGACAGCACCAAAGACCAGTGTTCAAGTCCCATGACTGACAAAATAAAGAAAAGGAAGAATCCTACTTGTCAGGTCTCAGCTAGGAGGTTGATTATAATAAGTGATTTCCTCATTTATTTCTATAATTCAGGTAACCTTTTCTCTCTTCAAGAATGAAATATCTAAAGAAATACTTGTGCTAGATGTGAGCAGAAAGATTGGCACAGAGGCTCATACCTGTGATCTCAGCTACTAGGGAGCTAGAGATTGGGAGGATCATGGTTCAAAGCCAGTCTGGCCCCCAAAACTGTTTTTTTTTAATATAGCCAAGCCAGGTGCCTGTGGTTCATGCCTATAATGCTAGCTACTCCAAAGGCTGAGATCTGAGGATCATGGTTCAAAGCCAGCTCAGGCAGGAAAGACCATGAGACTCTTATCTCCAATAAACCACTAGAAAACTGGAAATGGCACTGTGGCTCAAGCAGTAGAGTTCAGGGACAGTGCCCAGGCCCAGAGTTCAAGCCCCACAACCAATAAAAAAAAAAACTAGCAAGATTCCACAAGTTTAGAGTCAAGGCTCTTGTATTCCCAGCTATAGCTACACAGGAGGCATAAGTAGGAGGTCAGTGGCCCAAGGACAGCCTGAAGTAAGAAATGTAAAATCCTATTTGAAAAATAATCTTTAAAAAGGGTAGGAGGCACAATGCAAGTGGTATAGCATTTGTCTAGCAAAAGGCCCTGAGTTCAAACCTCAGCACCTCCAAAAATAAAAGTTATAAACATTAGATGCATAAAAGAATTAGTACTGATGTTCATATGTTGTGCAGACTTGAACATCTCATGGTAACTACTGGGTGTGCCCTAAGTAGAATTTCCCATATACTACTTTTACCTCCAGGAAACTGGCTGGAAAAGCAAATAGGGCATGACACTGAGGGGAACCAGGATCCTATGTGCATATTATCACTCTTTCTTAGTTCATGCTGGATTCAAAGCACAATGGTTTAGATGATCTTTGGAAATGAAAAGTGGTCAACCTGGAGACTGCAGTAGACTGGAAGGAATTCTGGGTTCCATGACTGTCCTCACACCACTTAATTGTGGGATAAGGGACTAGCTGCCTGAATTCCCACTGTTTTCAGAAGGATTCAACATTTTTAAAGCACTTGTAAAGGCATGTGAGATGACTTGGCTGCTTTGTGGGGCAAGCGTCAGGAATGGAAGGGAAGAAACAAGGACCTCACTGGGTCCTGAGCCTTGGGGACTCTCTTTGTGCCTCCAACACCTCAGGACTGGTATCAAGAAAGGATGGGAGGACCTAAGAATCTCATGCATTACCATTTTATTGAGAAAAGGAGAGATTCTTAATTTTTTAACTAAATAGAAAAGTTTTTGGCTTGTCTTTTTCACTTCTTAAATAAATGCTCTTTCAAATTGTTATCTAAATTTGGAAGATAAGTCAACAACTTACATTGCATCTTATTGATAATTTCCATTTTTAAAAAAAAGATCTTTGGTATAAAGGCTGATACCTACTTGAAATTTTCTTCTCATGGCATTGATGACTTCTTGCATATAAATCTGCATATTTTAAGTACACACCTTTATTGTCCATATATACTTCCATCACGTACATAACAATGGCTGTATAGAAAGGATTGGCATGCACACTGCTATTTGCAAACAAAAGCCACTGGTATCTTGGAACTTAAGTTTCTCACCATTTTATGGCTACTATAGATGGCCGACTCCTAAACCCCCATACAAGCAGTGGGGTTTATGTGTTCTTGTTTTCTGATAGAAGTCTGGAATTTGAGGATTAGCAAAGTGGTCTATAGCCTTTAGAGAAAGACTTGAGAATTGACACTCTAAATGGCTTTCCTTGAAAACCACAATGTATTTTCCAAATTCAGTGCTCAGGGGTTCAATGTGATTTCACTGTGAAGAAGATTTCTAGATCACACAGAATATCTGCCAGAATACTTCCCTTCATGCAACTTTTCTTGTGTTAACTTTATAATCTCACTTTCTAAAAACAAAAACAAGAAAACCACTGTGTAATTATGCACAGAGTCCTGTGAATTTACTATTATAAATGGGATGTACAGTAGGATTACAATTACATGAGTGAGGTACATTTCATTTTTTACACATTTTACCTTCCCTTACTTTCTCTCAATCCCTCCTTCCCATCTCCCCCCCAGCCCCCCGCATGAATTGTATAGTCTACTCTACCACAGTGTGCAATGATGTGCAATGAGCTCCACTGATGCACTTTTCTATTTTTCTTTGAGTAACCCAGTCATAAAGACAAAATTAAAATGACAGAAAAATGATTTCTTGGAACTTTAACTGTTCCTTAGATGGCCCAATTCTTATCATTGACGTAGGAAAGGCACATATCCATGGATTACTCACCCCACACACAATTTGCACAAGGCATGAGGAAAGGCTAATTTGTATACAAGTCACTGCTTTGTATGTGAAATAACACTCAACTCTGTAGATCTCTACTTACTACTTTTGATTGTTCCTCTAGGTTCCCAAGAAAATGATTACAGACTGCACCAAACTAGCTATTGATGCTGGGTTCCGCCATATTGATGCTGCTTATTTGTACCAAAATGAAGAGGAGGTAGGACTGGCCATTCAAAGCAAGATTGAGGATGGCACAGTGAAGAGAGAGGACATATTTTGTACTTCAAAGGTACGGTACATAGATGTGTATGTGCACCTACTAATGGAATGGGCTATGTTTAATAGATCTCATCAAAGGAAATCCATGATAAAAGGGAGTTTATTTTCTGTGATAATCAGTGTCTAACTGTTTGAAAAATGTCTCACTATAGGTAAATAGAAGCCACAAATTTTGATAATTTATTAAACCACCACCACTTCTTCCTTCAACCTTTATAGCTTTGGTCTACTTCTCATCAACCAGAGCTTGTTCGACCTAGTTTGGAAAGAACATTGAAAAGGCTTCAACTGAATTATGTTGACCTCTACCTTATTCATTTCCCAGTGTCTCTTAAGGTAGGCAATTTTCAATATTGATCTATCAAAACCTTAGCTGTCAGCTTGATTCTCTTTTTATGTGTGGTTGAGTTAAGCTTCTAAAAGTCATATGAACTCAATTATGTGTGCAAAGCTATAAGACTACTCAAAGTAACATGTAATTGGGTAGTCACTGCCGTGGATAGATTTATATATCAGGAGAAATCTTCTGAAATGCTTTTGTCTGTTCTTTATCATTAGAAGTTTGGTTAAGTTTTGTCCCATTTTGACTGGTGGCATATAGGGCTTTAAGAGAGTTCAAGGTCATGGCCATTTGCACTCTATCTTCTCTATCAAAATTTATCTTAAAAAGTCCAGGTCATTTGCTCACTTGGCTGCCGTTGAAGCAGTCATGTGCTCTAGGAAATTAAAATCATTATTGACTACTTATTCATTTTTGACTGTTTAGCCTAGGTCAATATTACAATTCACAAGGCCATGTAACTATTGACTTCTCAGTGAAAGACAGTCATTTTTCCAGGGAAAAAGCACAAGGGTATGAAGAATAAGGAAATTACTCATGGGCAACCTACGAGGACCTGAGAATTTGTTATTAATGAAAACAGATCATTAATATAAGAAATTAGAATAAGCTTGTCATTCAAAGACATTCCTTACAAACCCATATGCAGACTTTTGTACCTCTTTCAGTGGTAAGGTCAACATTCTAGCTCATTTTAGCTCCCAGACATAGATCTGCCTGAGAACATCGATGTGAGTGGAGAGATAAACCTTGTGAGATTGCTTTTATGATTCCATCTATTTCAGCCAGGAGATGAGATTTATCCAAAAGATGAACATGGAAAGTTCAAGCTCGACATAGTGGATCTTTGTGCCATATGGGAGGTGAGTAATGCTGAGATCCTGGGGGAAATCGAAAGAAGACACAGCCCAAAATCCACAGTTCAGAAAAGGATATGTGCCCAGTCTTGTAGAAATTAACTATCTCTATTATGACTCTGCTTAAGTGATGGAATGGAACATATTGCTAATAATGTAATATAGAGAAATGAAGATGGATTGGAGAAAATGGTGATTATCATCTTTTTCCTTTATATAGAATCATCTTTCTTATGGAGAGCACTAAAGTTGTTTTCATTGCTGCTACTACTGTTTCTTTTAATTTCCTTTACTGGTTTTTCTCTTCTTCCCAATCCATGGCAATTAGCTTTATTTTCATTTCTGGAGAAAGATGTTTATAACACTATGATCTTGCAATTATAAAGTTCAGTAGCCAGCTGCAGAAATTGTTCTTCACAACTGTTTTTCCTCCCCAGGCCATGGAGAAGTGTAAAGACGCGGGGTTGGCCAGGTCCATTGGGGTGTCCAACTTTAACCGCAGGCAGCTGGAGAGGATCCTGAACAAACCAGGACTCAAGTATAAACCTGTCTGCAATCAGGTCAGCTGCCATCATCTGCTTTCCTTCCATCCTTCATTCTTAATCCTCATGCTATTGCCAGGTATGTCCTCTCCTCGGTCATAGTTCTTTTGTAGAGCAGATGATGATGACAGCAGAGCCTTTCTTCACAAGACTAGATCTTTGCTTTGTAAAGCAAAACTGAAAAAAAAAAGAAAGAGAGAAAAACATTAAAAGACCATAGAACTGAATTGCCAGATGTAGTATATTCATAAACTGTTTTGTTGAATGAAACCTCCTTTGTACAACTACTTAACAATAATAAAAATATTTTTTAAGAGCTGGAACCTAGTGGCTCACACCTGTAATCCTAGCTATTCATGAGTCTGAGATCTGAGGATTGAAGTTCAAAGCCATCCCTCACAGAAAAGTCGATGAGACTCCAATTAACCACCAGAAAACTGAAAGTGGCACTGTCGCTCAAAGTGGTAGAGTGCTAACCTTGAGCAGAAGAGCTCAGGAACAGCACTCAGGACCCAAGTTTAAGCCCTATGAACAACAAATATATAGATATGTAAAAGAAGAATTTCCAGAGGCAAATATAGTCATGTTTCATTGCATCCATTAGTCACATTTCAAAGAGAAGGTTTACTTATCCCTAAAATACGAAGGCTGACAAGAGATTGGTCAATGAATGTGTTCTAGAGAGACTGTTATATATGGAGTATGGAAACCTGAAACCATAGAATGAGCAATAAAATCCATGGAATAGTAATGAGATCAGTGGTATGAGTTTATATGGGGCTTACATCCTTGAGGTATTTCCCATATTATCTCTGGTTTCAAGGTTCTAGACCAAAGGCATACTATAGGGAAAAGAAACAAATGGAAACTATGAAAGACACCCTGGCTAGAGAGAAAGAGCTACCTGTTTATGGTGATACTGAAGGTAGGTGAAATCTACATTCAGAAACTAAGCAAAACAGAGCTGACCTTCTATCTGACAGCACTGCAGACTGCTTCTCTTACCTGCTTCCTGCCATTAGATTACTGACTTAAGCCTCTCCATTCTATGCAGTGTTCCATGTTCTGAGTTCCTTTGTTACAAAGTCCAATCAAAGAATAAGATTTGTTGGTTAGGAATATATATGTGTATAATACTTACATATATTATTATGATATACAGTATAAATAATACATATTACTTATTATATGTAATAACATATATCATATAACATATACAATATTACTATTATACATATATATACTATATATGTAGTTTGTAGTATCTAATATGAAATAACATAGAACTAGAGTCCCAAATATTAATACTTGTTTTACAACAATTTTTTATGATGCCCACATTCAAATCTTTAAGGTGTCTATATTTTCCCACATATGTCAAAGATGGTTGATTTTTTTCTATGCTCTACAATGTAGGTAAGTGCCTGGAGCACTATCTGCATGCAATGCAGGTATATGTAATAGCTTGCTGCACCTGATCAAATAGAATTGTAGATACCTCTATTCACCACAACAGACATCACAAACATCTTCTAAGAAAGAAATTACTGTCCTTTGAAGTTGCAATTGCATTGTTAGACCTAAGGAAATGGATGGCTTTTCACTCCTGTCATTGGATATACCATCCATAATCAGATTCCCCATTGCTTTCTCAAAACATCTTTCATGCTTCTTTTTTTAACCTAAGTCAAATTGTAGCTTACAAACAGCTTTCTGTCATGTTTCTCTTCATTATACAATGATCCCCAATTCCTTTCCTCATGTTTTCTAGGAAGGTCTTACCAAGTAGTCTACATTGATTACATTTTGGGCTTTGAGTGAAGGACAAAACTGAGCAAAAGGGCAAAGCCCTGAGCTCAAGCATTGCTACTGGAAAAAAATAATAATCTTTACTTATTATTGCTATTTTATATTTAGGTGTCATGCTAATTCACATTTTTCCAGCTTCTTTTAATATTTCTTTTGTGCATTAATATAGGCTCTCATATAACTTGAATGTTCTTATCTTGTCCCTCCACAGGTAGAATGCCATCCTTACCTGAATCAAAGCAAACTACTGGATTTCTGCAAATCAAAAGACATTGTTCTGGTTGCCTATGGTGCTCTGGGAACTCAACGATATAAATATGGGTAATAAGAAAAATAGGGCTTGGTAGCTCGTACCTGTAATCCTAGCTGTTCAGGAGGCTGATATTTGAGGATGGCAGTTTGAAGCCAGCCTGGGCAGAAAAGTCTGTGACAGTAATATCTATAAATACCCACCAAAAAGCCAGAAGTGGTGCAATGGCCCAAATGCTAGAGCATTAGGTTTAAGGGGGAAAAAAAGCTCAGGGACAGTGCCCAGGCCCTGAGTTCAAGCCCCAGAATTGGCACAAAAGAAGAAAAATAAAAGGAATCATACCTAAGGAACAACAATTGAGCAAATGGATTTAGTTCCACAACACCAGATTTTTCTGGAGCTCACTCTCAACTGGCTCAGGGTGCAGACAGGAGATCCCAGGCCATAATGGTGTTGTGAGTCCAGGGGCCACACTGGAGAATGTCTGGTCTAAATCTCAGCCCTTCTGTCTCTCCTTCCAGGGTGGATGAGAGCGCCCCAGTTCTCTTGGATGATCCAGTTCTTGGAGCCATGGCAAAAAAGCACAAGCGAACTCCAGCCCTGGTCGCCCTTCGCTACCAGCTACAGCGAGGGATTGTGGCCCTGGTCAAGAGTTTCAATGAGGAGCGAATCAAAGAGAACATGCAGGTGATGCTCAGGGGCTCTGGGTACCATCTTTCTTGCCACATCCTTCCTACTTTTACTCTCAGGAGACATCGGTAGTCCATCTGCACTCACCCGGCGTTTTACTATGCGTGTCCACTTCATGCCTGTTTAGAAACGTCTTCTCTTCCTTTATAGTAGCGCTACCAGGGACAATTGGGATTGGGCTGGGAACAAGGAATTTAGCTTCAGCTTTACAACAGCGATGTGTTCTGACCCCTGTACAAGGGTTAATCATTATTTTTAGTAAATATTCTTTTCAAATTTATTTTTTGAGTTAGTGTTTATTTGTAATATATGGGTTTTCATTGGAATATTTTTGTATAGGTGCAGAATGCACACTGGTTAAGTTCCCCTTTTTTCTTCTCCATCTCCTTTTTCAAGCACCATTTGATGTGTTTCACTAGCCTGTTATATATAAATGCATATATGTGCATATATATAATATATATATACACATACATGTGTATATACATATATGTGTGTGTGTATATATTCCATAATGAGTGAGAAGATCTAATATTTGCCTTTTTTAAACTTGGTTCAACCAGTTTAACATAAATTCATTTTTCCTTATGGACATATCCCATAGTATGTATGTATAAATATACACACCATATACAATATATGTATATACCATAGTTTCTTTATCCATTCATCAGATATTCACTTATTGAGCAGCTCAGCTGATTCTAGTTTGGCGGATATGAACACAACTGCACGAAAACATGGATATGTACATATCTTTCTGATTTACTCTTTTTTATATATGGCCAAGAGCAGCGTGGTGGGGTCAGATAGTACCGAAAACAGCATGTTACTGACATACTCACACATACAAAAAACAGACACCAGTGGAAAAAATAAAAGGTCTAGAAATATGCAGTCAAAAGGAACCAGAAATACACACTGAAGAAAAGACAACTTGTTTAACAGCTGGTACGAGGAGAACAGGATAATACCCATGTCAAAGATGAGAGACTCTCACCCTGTACAAATATCAGCCCCAAGTCGATCAAAGACGTTAATGTAAGATCTGAAACTATGAAATTACTATAGGAAACTATGAAAGACATAAGCATAGGTGGTTATTTCTTTTCTTTTCTTTGCCCAAAATGAGGACTCAAACTTGATACCTGACACTGTCACTCATTGGCTAGTACTCTACCACTCCTCCAACCCCTTTAGCGGGTTGGTTATTCTTTTCCTTTCTTTTCTTTTTAGCTGATTATTTCCAGTTGCTCAGGAAATGTGAACAAAGGTTGATCAATTGGACTATATTAAAAACAGAATGGGAGAAAATATTCACCATCTATCTGTTCAAAAGATAAAGGGTTCTTATCCAAAATACACAGAGGGCTAAAAAAAAAAGTCAAGCAGCAAGTGGAAAAATATCATATTTATGATAATTAAACTGGTCAAATTGACACTAGGACTTCAGCCAATTCCTTGCCTGAGTCCTTTGAACAGAACATCTTTAATATGTGGAAAGTTCTTGTTTTAAATTGTTAAAAATAATACTACTTTTCACATACTAACCACTTTCTGCTGTGAGTTTGAAATCCAAGTTTATCCATGAAAAATATTTAATTATCTTTCAAAAATATGGCTCTAGGTTTCTCTGGATCTTCTAAATACACAAGGAAGTACTTTTAAAATCAGGTCAGCTTTGTTTGGTCTCCAGCTTCTTCCATTTCATCTGCAGTTTTACACATTTTCAACACATAGGAATTTGGGTTTTTTTGTGATTGTTATCTTTAAGTAGTTGTGCAAAAAGGGTTTCCATTCACCATGTCAGGAATTTGTTTCTATTTATTTATTTTTATCTGGTATTTATTGCTTACTTGGGAGACTTCTCAGACACTTAAATATTATCACTGCATCAGTCAGATTGGTTGCAAATTTCCAGACAAAGAAATATGCACCCTAAATACAAATTTTAAACAAAAACACTTTTCTATTTATTTGGCAGGTTTTTGAATTCCAGTTACCTTCAGAAGATATGAAAGTCATAGACGGCCTAAACAGAAATTTTCGGTATTTTTCTGCTCTTATGTAAGTAACTTTGGCAAATATATTTTTATCAACTTAATTTCTGATGGGGTTGAGATAGTTTAAAGTTACCTCAGTATGAGTCAGACTGAGGCCAGTGTAAGTCAAGGATGTCACAAAGCTTTCTGGAACTCTTCCCAAACAATTGAATATATAATCACTTTTATCACTTTATAGTGTGGTCATTACTGTATATAGATCTTATACAGTAAGCTCCTTGACCATGAGATTTTTCCATTTACATAACATACTTTCTATTTTTAGTCTAATATAGCATGTTCCATGCAGTAAGCTGTCAATAAATAATGAATGAATAACTAAATAAGATTTAGATGGCATTGTTAATTGTTACCTATAATTACCCAAGACTATTTACTAGTGCTAAGATATCACTGGAATTATCCGTTCTGAACAAGACAAATCAGTTTGTGCTTTCATCATTGGGAATTTGTAATAAAAAAGGAATCTCTTTGGTATTGTTTTGTTTTGCTTTATTTTGACATATACACATGTTTGAAGAGGTGAGTGGATTCTCTGTGTGTTCAGTCTGAAAGACAGAAATTGGTTTAAACAATTTACCACTTTAATGTTACAAAATCATGTTTATAAAAGTACAAAATGTCCACTTAATGACTTATCAGAAAACAAACATTTTAGCTTTCACCCTAAGGGCAGGCTTCACAGAAATAGCTTCTAGAAACAAGAGTTATGAAATCCCTTCTAAACACAGAGTTATGAAATCCCATATGCATTCTTCTTTCTCATTGCAGGTTTGAAGGCCACCCTAATTTTCCATTTTCTGATGAATACTGACATGGACCTCTTCATCACTTCTACGGAGCACTTGCCTGGATGGATAGTGATACAGGAACGTCTCAGAGGCTAACGACTGGGCACATGGCCTCCAATCCACACTGCTTAGCAACTCAGCCCCAGCTTCAAATGGGTCCCTTAGTCAGGAAGCAAAGCACTAAATGATTGTCACCCACTGAAATGAAATTAAAAGAAGATATTTTCCCTCAATTTTGCTGACTTCCAGTCTTGCCTGAGTTGAGAGTTTTTTGTCTGCTTCTCGTCTATCACTTCTTCTAAACTCCTTTGTCTAGAAGTCTGCAGAAAGTGGAGGGAGATGACCAAAGTTATTTCATAGACATTTCTGTGGTAAGAATGGCAAAGCCCTTAAGCTTTAGAGAAGTAGGAGATAACAGGGGTTTCATTAGTATTTCCATAGCCCTCCAGGCATAAGACAACACACTGCATGTGGTTTGGAAGGTGAAACTCATGTGAAGAATAACCAGTATTCCCAGGTGGGCCTTGTAGCAGCTCAAGGATCACAGCTGCAGAGACTGAGTAATGAGTTCTCACAGCTGCAGAGACTGAGTAATGAGCTGGGGAATAGCATATTTCCTGCTTGGGAAGTACTGATAAGGATACTTGGTATAGTACATTTTGCAGAGACTCTCTGAATTTCTGCCTCAGACCCAGTGCTCTGTGTCAGGTCAGGATCATCAAAGCATGCCAACTGATTGCAGCAATCTTGGCTTTCTAAATTACATTTACTCTCTATAGTTTTTAGAGGTACAAATGTAAGCAGTTAATCTTAGTATCAGTAGGATTTTGTTCTGTACCTCTGATCTCTTGCTTCCAATCTGTAAAAGTATCTCTATACTATTTGAAGAAAATAAAAACAAGTTTCAATCTCCACAGAGTTCGTTCAGGCCTTGGTAACTCAATGAATAAACTGCATGGAACTATAGTTGACTTGTGTAGGAACCATTTCTCATTCATTCTGAAGGTAAATAATTTGTGTGATAAAAGCTATTTCCTTGGTGTTTGATCATTATCACCATTTAACAGGATGGCTCAATTAATATTTTTCTTAGAAAGATGTAGATGTAAGGTATTGGTGAATACTAAGTAATAATTCATGAGGCTCCTTGTAATTGAGAAAAAAATTATATTTGTTATTTTAAGTAGTTGTATAAGAGATTTACAATTTAATATAGTATGTCCACTATGTATCCTACTAAAGAGGCACCCTTTCCATTATTTACTTAACTAAGAAATAGAGTTGATAAGCAGGGTACCAGTGGCTCACATCTGTCATCCTAGCTACTCAGGAGGCTGAGATCTGAAGATTGTGGTTCAAAGCCAGCCCTGGCAGGAAAGTCTGTGAGACTCTTATCTCCAATAAACCACCAGAAAACTGGAAGTGGCATTGTAGCTCAAGTGGTAAAACACTTGCCTTGAGCTGAAGAGCTGAGGGGCAGCATTCAAGACCAGAGTTCAAGACCCATGACCAACAAAGCAAAAGAAAGAGAGAGAGAGAGAGAGAGAGAGAGAGAGAGAGAGAAAGAAGGAAAGAATAGCAGGAAATTCTTATTGAAAAATATTAAATGTGAGGTATCATATAAAAAACAAAGTGTTATGGAATTGATAATCTGATATTCCAGCCTAAAAGGGGAAATGTTGTGCTACTGTTACTGATTTGGGTATTTGTGGTATATGGATGATATCCATCAGAACAACAACAACAAAAGTCTAAAACTAAAAGGAGAATGAAGAAGCACAGAAATTGCCCTAGAGGTTCATCCAATTCTTGCCCCCTCTAGTTTAAGGAATGAATTAGAATGAATTATTTCAGGAAAGACTGACTTGCACAATTTGGGTGATTATGTCTTACTGAAGAGCAGAAAGCCTCTTTGGTGTGCTAAAGGTAGCCAAAAAAAGCAGCACAGTTAAAAGTTTTACAGTCCAAAGGTGCACTCAGATCTTGAACAAGTGTCAGTTTAAAAGATCTTTGACCAAGAGTCATGACATAGTTTCAAACATTGGAGAAAGCTATCTAAAATGAAAAGTTTGGTTCTTCAGGATTAGCTGACAAACTGTATGCACCTAGAACTATCCAAAATAGTTGTATATCTTTGCAAAAGATACTGCTAACGGCTAACAAATTTCTTTATCGGATGGTACTCTTCTCCATATCTTTCGATAACTTGCAGAATTTGTATTATTTACTATTTGTTCAACTACATTGAAAGGGTTTGGAATGTTTTGTGATATATTTGCAAGTACCTGCTTTCTAGTTAAAATATTTATAAGGATCATGCATAACAAATGTAAATTTGTTTTAAAACAAGTGCATTAGAAAAAGTTGAAATCCAGGGCAATTTGATCATTTCATTGTTTCTTTGATTTTCAAAGGTTCCTATTATTCCCGTTCAACACATGAAGAGACTAGGGCTGACCCTCAGCTCTAGCTCTTGAATAAAAACTTAGAAACTTCCCTTTGATCTGTACTATGTAATTACCAGAAGAACCCTCCTCAGGACTTCTCAAGCAGAGACATGCTCAGCTTCTCCTCAATCTTTCACAGCTGATACCTAATGATTCATCAGCCTGGGTCCCTTGTCTGTTTGGCCAAATCTCAATCTCCCTTTCTGGAATTCTGATCTTGAGCTGCTTGTAAGGAGCTGTTAGACTGTTGGTCATCTATTCTGTGTGTGTGCCTTACCCTCAGATCACATGCAAAGTATTTTCTTATTTCTCAATGGGCCAAAGAAACACTGACTGGTACATACCTGCTGACTGCCACGTCAGAGCTTGAGAATTCTACCCACTCCTATCCCTTCTCATGTCCACACTAAATGATTGCTACCATGTTTAAAACTTTGACCACAGGCTTCTATTAAGGTTGTTTTTTTTTAATGAGTCAGAAGGAAACCATGCAATTAACTAACAGACACAGTACTCAGTAAGAATATGCACATAAAGAAACTTCATTTTATTTCTTACAATGCACAAAAATGTAGTTTTCCCTTCCAAAAATGCAGGCTTAACCCCAATTGAGTCCAAGTTGACAAAGAGCCTGGACTGAACACAGGTGATATCGATCACCACATCTGAAACATCTCATTCACTCATGATAAGGAGGTACTTCCAGGAGAAGTCAGGGCAAAGACCCCCAAGTTAATATTCATCAGAAAATGGATAATTAGGGTGGTCAGCAATCCTAAAACAAGACAGAAAAATACACAATATGTACTCAGTGACATACCTTCTAGAGTAAAAAAGAGAACTAGAGCTGTCATTAGGATTAATCATTTTAATTGTTAGTTGGTTATAGAATCTATTCTTCTTACTAACATGAAATGTTCTTACACAAAATAACATTGTAAGACATCAGTTACTTTTTCTAGTGCTTTTCCTTTTCCTGGAGGATAACACAGAGCACAGTGGCAAACATTCAGACATATTCCTCCCATTACTATCATCTGTTAACCTACCAAAGCAATACCTCATCTTTTCTAATTTCCAGTCTTCAGTAAAAACATAATCTGATTATTCTTTGCTTAGGAAAAGGCCAATCCCAGATACTGGCCAAAACAAATATATTTTAAACTATAGAGTTTAGGACTAATAATTCCAACCCCATTTTCATGATTCATTACATATTTACTCATCAGAAACAATATACTCTGTTTGATACAGAAATGGGAAGATTTTAATTTATAAGGCAGATTTCCATAGCTAAGGAGCTTACTATGTAATTTGTAGATCTTTATACTCTAAAAGCAACACCAAGTATTAAATGAGATATATATATATATATAATTAATATTACTACTTGAACCACAGCTCTACTTCTGGTTGTTTTTCTGTTTGTTTGTTTGTTTGTTTGAGGTTAATTGGAGACAATAGTTTCATGGATTTTTCTTCCCAGACTGGCTTCAAACAGCATTCCTCAGATCTCAGCCCCCTGAGTAGATATGGTTATAGGGGTAAGCCATTGGTGCCTGGATCTAATTTCATTTTCTAAAAACATTATCAGCAGAGGATTAAACTTGATTTTGGACACATTTAAACAAACTACAGTGTCACCATTCATAGTTCATATCCATTGGATAGTTGCAGAATATAGTGGATTGTACAAAACTTGCCACAGAAGTGTAGAATCAGCAATGGTATTGGCTGATCTGGAACATTCCACAGAATGATAAGTGCAGAGGCCTATATATCCAAATCTAAGCAGAACTTAGTTTCACTCACCCTGTTGCTGAATCAGAGAACAGAACTATGGGAAACATCTTAGACTATAATCCTAGAAAACTCATAAATTACCCTAACTGAAATGGACTTGTTCCCCAGGATTAAGTTACTATAACTATGTTATATTCTATCTCAGAAAATAAGTTAAAACAATTTATTTGGCAAAGTTACTCACTGATTAATAGTAACGTATCGAAAATTTCTATTCAGGCCATCTAGGGTTTTCATGTCCTCTGACGTCAACTGGAATTCAAAGACCTATCACACAGAAAGTTTTTGTATATTTATACTATGTGTTTGCCAATGTGGAAAATCCAACTGGCACAGATTCAAAATGGCAGAGATAATACTTAAAATACCTGAAAAGTTTCCAATGTAAGAGCAAACACAGGAAAAGATAGAATATTAATTGACTTCAAAGGAAAGGCATGAAATATTTGATCACAACCAAGAGAAGAAACTTTAGTTCATAAAACTGTATCATAAAAAGAAGTAACATACAAGTAATTTGGGAAAAGGTGCTTCAACAAATGTATCTGCGTCTGAAAAACAATATTTAGAATACATAATGTGGTAGATTGATTCTAAGAATGTTCCTCAGTAATTTTCATCTCCCAGGCTTTGTTATATGAATATTTGCCTTTTTCTACAGAGGTACTAACTATGAGTTCCCTCAGAGTTAGGAGATTTGCCTAGCCTATAACTTGTATTGGTCACTAAAATGTGTCCAAAACAATGGCATGTCAGTTTTGAACCAAGACATGAAAAGGCATTTCAAGTATGAACTACTGCTCTGGGAAAGT